TGTAAAGGGGGAGAATCCAACAAAAAGAAAGTCATGACAATGATAAGTCAGTATGTATCAGTTATAACTATCAATGTTAATGGTCTCAATTCACCAATCAAAAGAAATAGACTGGCAGAATGGGTCAAGAAGCAAGATTCAACAACATGCTGCATACAAGAAACACACGTCATTCAAAAAGAAACTCACAGACTGAAAGTTAAAGGGTGGAAAACAATACTCCATGGGGCAGGAACCTGAAAAAAAGCAGGAGTAGCTATCCTCTTTGCAGATCAAGTGGATTTCAAGCCAAAATCCGAAACACTTTTGGTCCCAAGAATTTCAGATAAGGGACAGTCAATCTATATATACAAATCTATTGTGAACGTATGTTTTTATTTCTCTTAAAACTTAGAACAGAACTGTTGGTTCTTAACAGTAATACAAGAAATTTCTACATTGTTTTCCAAAATGGTTTTATCATTTTACATTCACATTAGCAGTATTAGAAAGTTCTAACTGGTTCACACCTAAGCTGACATTTGTTCTTTTAAAACCTTTAACTTCATCTCCCTAATGAGTGTACAATATGATGTTATTGTACTGATTGGTATTTTTTTTTATTCCAGTGTTGCACACCATTCCTTGTGCTGTACTGGCTATTTATCATCTTGTGTCTTCTTTTTAATTGGGTTGTCTATTAACGAGCTGTAAGAGTTCTTTATACATTCTGGTCATGGGTTATATGTATTATAAATATGGTCTGTTTAAGGACTACTTTTCATTTTCTTAATGATGTAATTTAAAGTTCTGAATTTTGATGGAATCTCATTTATCCATTTTTTTCTTTTACACATCATGTTTTTTGTATCCTAGGAAATTCTTGCCTACCCTAAATTCATGAACATTTTCCCTTATAATTTCTTGTTAATGTTTTATAGTTTTAGTCTTTCATATTTAGGTTCATAGATCCTTTCAAGTTATTTTTATGTATGGAAATAAACAGTTGAGATTAATTTTTTACATACAGATACCAGATGTTCTACTACCATTTGTTGAAAATATTATCTTTTCATCTGCTCTTGAGTTTATGTTCTATAAAATGTTAATGTTAAATAATCTTTCAAAAATCAGTGCACCATATATGTGTGGTTGTATTTCTAGATTCTCTGTTTTATTCCATCAACCTACATGTCTTTCCTTATGCCAACATTGCCTTGATTACTGTAGCTTTAGAAGAAGTCTTAAAATTAGGTAATAAATGTCTTCCAACACTGTTATTTTTTTTTCTTTTTACTTTTCCAGGTCCTTTCTACTCCTATATAACTTTTAAATTT